TTGGCATCTATATTAGCGCCCCAGGGATCGAAAATGAGGTTGCGAATCGTATAACAGAAGCTCGAGGTGCTTTTGCCAATCTCCGCCACCTGTGACGCAGACGCGACATTACTCTCGCTCTGAAGGGCAGAGTTTATACCGCAGCCGTCCGTTCAACTCTCCTATGTGGTTGTGAAACCTGGCCCATCAGGTCGACAGACATGAAGAGGTTCGTCATATTCGATCCTCGCTGCCTTCGCAGCTTAGCTCATGTCTGATGGGAGCACCGCGTGAACCATGAGCGTGTTTGGCGTCGCGTATTTGGTGCAGGAAGAGCGAGTGAACCGCTCATCACCATTATATCACGCACCAGGCGCCGATGGTTGGGCCACGTGTTGCACATGTCAGCACACCGACTCCCGCGGTGTGCATTGTTTGCGCGTTGTGGGTGCGGCTGGAAGAGAAGAAGGGAAGGCCAAACGATGACTTGGTCGAGAGAGATGAAAACCCTCATTTCGAAGTTGGCGTCAGTTGGTGCATCCCGATTGCCTGGCTGGGTTCCTGAGGACCGTGAACACGTTTGGTTGGACACACTTGATGATATAACGAAGAGCCGGCTCCAATGGCTTAGGTACTCTAGCGCCTAAGGCTGTATGTGTGTAGGGTTCATTCGTCGGCCTCAGTCTTCCATCGGCCGGTGGGCGAGTGGTCTGTGCGTCTGGTTTGCAACCATAATGTCACCAATTGAAATCCGCGTAGGGGTGGGCGTCCTCACGGTATACTCAGCCCGCAGGCGACTGGTGGTGGTCGCGCGGCAGCTAAGCGCCGTTACGGCGTACAGCTGACACTATTATTTTTTATTACTTATCATCTGCCCCCTACTTTCAACTTGACTAGTCTTGCTACTTTGTAGCCACCATATACTTGTTTTCCTGTCATTGTTCTTAGTACTTAGGAGACGATACGAGGTGCTAACATCTGCCGGTTTTCATCTCCTCACTTCGTTATTTAACTGTGATTGGGATGAAAGTGGTGTAAAGTTAATCGGCCTATAATGTTATCAGCTAGAATAAATGTAAGAACTCCTTTGGTTCCGCAACCGTACCGTGTCGGATTTGACCTGCAACTATTGGTGTGGGCGATCTCGAAGTCCTTTTGCAGCAGGTCGTTAAGTACCAGCTCGATCAGATTGTGTGGTTTAAGTAGTCCATCGGACGTGCTCCTTGGGATCGACGTGAAAGATACGGTACTGTGGTTTGCCGATTATGTTTGTTTTATACAAAAAGAAACAGTGTGTCTACGACGACTTTTCCCATTTTCCTAGATTGATGAAATGGAAATTCTTCGCCTCATGTGGGTGTTCACTTTTGTGCTACGATACAGCAACTGAAGTATTCTGTTGGCCAGGGTATGTTCCATTGCTGGAATAAAGCAGAAGCAAGTCACTCCCACCGCTTCTTCATGCATAGCAAGGAAAACCGCCAGGTCTTGTGTGATTGGAGAAACATGCGAGAGATCTCACGAGCCATTTTTACACCGGTACATTCTACTGTACATATACAATCATTGGTGTCCGGGGTGACTAGCACTGACAAGCTTGGTGATTCACATGCCGTTGGTTCGGCGAAAATCACTACTATCATCTGATGCATCGATGAATGTCTTGTCATGAATGGAGATAAAATCGAAAGAGTTGTTGTAGTGCGAACCTCGGATAAGAACTGGTTTTCATGGTTCACTTATTTAGCTGAAGTTTTCCAACATTTCACACACTACTAGAATGCGAATTCTGACATTCTAACCACTGAGTTTTTGTGGCACTCTTTAAAGATAGAGATTGTTCTAAGCCGGTACGATCAGGTGATTCGAATCCGAAACCAACTGTAATTCTACTCCTATAAAGGCCAGGGATTTGTCTCAGTGATTTCTCTGTGCAACTGAGTGGCAATGATGGTGACAATGTGACTACTTTCTCAATCGTTTTTACATGAAGTTTTATGACCACTAAGAAATGAGTACGGCGGTTTCTTATCATCGGTCTGAAGATGGCTATTCAATGTCCCGTGTAGTGTCAGTTGGTGACCAAATCAGTCGATGATGAGTCTTCTCTGTTTGAGCACCCAGACGGTAGCCCAGCCAACATGTAATCTTGATATTATCTCGCAATTTTAGCTTCATCGTGCATCAACCGTTGTGCGGTTTTAGCACGGTTGCCTCACCTGTAAAGTCGACAAAATCGGAACGGACATAACCCTCGAAGCTACAATGTTCATTGTGAAGAGGCTTTAAGTCTGACGTCCTCAAGCTGTTCCATTATTGTGCCCTAAGTCATACTTATGACTCTGGTTACTCAACGCAACATTTTCCTGCTTTTGTTTTGCGTATCAGCGCTGGTTGCGGTTTGTGTTGTTCTGGTCTTTCACTTCATCATATCGGATAAATCCGACGACCTGTGTAGACCAATGCTGACCCGCATCATATCACTTATCGTCAGACACTGGTTGGTAGGCCTCATTCATTGAGCGAGATGTCGGCTGGAATGATAAAACGAAATTACTCCTATCTGCTTCGCCACATTCGCGTTTCAACGGGGAATATTATGTTGACGATTGCTGACGGCTGTTTTTGTATAGGTTCCCAATAATTTTGAGAAATCTCGATTGACTCTAACCACAATGGAAGCGGATAACTGATAATCGATACAAATTGAGATATGCAGATTTACCGTTTCAATTGCTATGCAGAGCCCTACGTGAATATTTCAGACATTTGGTAATTAATGTTGGACAACAGACTACCTATTGATCTTCGGACTTTGCAGTTTTGTTCTGCTCGTTACTCTTAGTCTGGTAACATCTATCACAACCGCTAGAATAGAGAAAAACCAGTTTTTTGATTAAATTCTGGTGGTGCCTAGAATGAGTTGTTTAGCTTTCCAGGGCAGGCGTGTTGATAGTCATCTGCCGTCACTTTTGCGCTTAGCTACTGGCTGCATTTGGGTTAACCGCTTTTGTGCGACGAAACATCCAATTCAGCCTCCTATTCCTTGCTTTCCTGACATTCGTGGGCATATGTGATCTGGGCTACTACTAAACACTCTTATCTAAAGAAAAGGACTACTAGTGTTCCGAGGTAGACGGCTAAAAGAATCTACTACACTGCAGCGGAATTTTTACTTTCAGTTATCACCGTTTCAACTTCCAGGTGAACCAGGGGACCTAGTCCTAGTTCTCTCTACACATAATTTATCGCAGCCATACACAGTAAGTCTCCTCTATCATTTAGCAGGCAATTGCACCACCATAGGGTTATACTTCTTCACCTGGGGGTCAGGGGTTCGAGCTTGCATAGGGGACTGGTGACCCTCGCAATATCCTTGCCCCGCGTGCGACTGATGGTGGCTGCATGTCAACGAAGCGTCAGTACTGCGTACCGGCGTCCTGTCGGTGCCTACACTTTCTCACCACCCCGGATGCAGCGAAGGAACCACCGAGCAGGACTCGAAAGCTGCCGAAAAAGTCGATATAAATGATTCCAATCCTCATTCATATCTTCTCTACATCATACTATTCTCTATGGATTGTTGTTTGGCATACGACTGCTGATAAGATTCAAAGGATAGCGCTGCTTGCCTTCTGTCCGCGAGCTGCATGATCAATCAGTTTAGCGAGCAACGTCGCCAAAATGGTTGAAACTGGTTATCCCATGCTTTCACCGTTGCCTGGCTACGCGCTCACATGGGTCCTAACCTTAGGTTACTTATTTCAATCACATTATCTAACGCGGACTATAGCGAATTCATGAAGTATTGTCGCAAGTTCTTTCTGTCCGTAATCCCAGTTGCATTTTCTGACCGGTTATCTGGATCTTAGTTCTCTCTCTGGGCTTGTGTGTTGTTTTTCCAGGTATGCCCGATCTTTGCTTATCATGGCCCCATGGATTTTGGTATCATACGATCAGTCATCTAGTACTCACTTGACCAATGTACCCGCGAATATAATTAACTTGATTGCTTACCACGGGGTTCGCAACAACACCCGAAAAAGGCGCATCAGCAGTTCGCCGACACATCGTACCGACTCTTCCCTGCTACGCGACCACTGCGTATATCTCGAGGTCGCCCACACCTTCCCTGATTCTTACCGGTGACCACCAGATTGCAAGGCAGACGTATAACTCTTTCGACCACCAGCCGACACCTCCCAGTGGCTCATTTGCAGTTGGAATCGTGCAAGCATTCTGGTTCACGTCCCTCTGGTCACTCACCCGTTATGGCAGTGATCTATCTCCGTATTTCCTTTATTCGTCAATCAGCCGAATTTGCCATTGAGCAACTTATACAAATCTTGGCTTTATGTACTAAGATCCATGGGCTCGGATTTGCCGCAGCATCTCAGGGCATTGGTTGGTGTTGCTGTGCCACTGTTTCGTTCTTCAATTTGTCAATGCGTGTTCTATTGTCGTCAACTCAGCGGTACGCCGTAACGATTTTTAGCAGGATTTCATCAGAATTGCGCTTAAATCACACGCCCAATTCGATGACTAGATTGGATGATTTACCAAAGCGCGATTTTCTTCTCTCTCTCTCTCTCTCTCTCTCTCTCTCTCTCTCTCTCTGTATGTGTGTGTGTACGAAGCAGCTGCAAATTGCTTAATTTCACATTGCGCCCTTTGCTTGTTTTGCGTTCTCCACACAAGTGTGGCAGTGTTTTAAAACAGACTTTTGTTCCCATTTGCTCCTACTGTAAGAGACTTCCAGAATTACTTGCATTTTCGGTAGATTTTAGCAATATTTTGCTGTCTTACTCTTCAAATACAAGCACGGCATAAATGCCGTCATCTGGCGTTCTCAGACTTACTCTCGCTGTTTTGTCTCACTTGGGTCTGTTGTCTTTACTCGCCCCAATTCACTCTCCCCTCTGCATCCGACCTTCACAGTAGATTTCGCGGTTCGTTATCATGCACTCGGCTATCGCGATGTACATTTGTGTACCTTATCTATCATACTATTCTTCCCACAGGCAAGCTCCCAATCATAAACGAACTCCATGAGCTGGTAGCACTAGTGTCGCGAACGGATTCAAAAAAGACTACCGAATACCCAGACGCATCCAAGGATTCCTGGTGCGTTAATCGGCTCTTTTTGCATGTCCGGATCAGAGTAGCTTTTGTGCTCGTCTTTTTCATCCTATTTTGTTCAAAGATATCCCATGTAACTCCCAAAGTACATTTACTCATTGAGATGGAATCTAATCTCGCCTTCCTTCAATTCTCACATCCCTTCCCTAGCCTTTGCCATTTGTGCGTAATTGGGTTCGGTGTCACCGCAGACGGATTGATAGTGCCAAATCGAACAGTCGTATTTGCGTCTGCATTCTCCATAACTGTATCTTCTTTCGTTTTTAGTACAGCGGGGTAGTTATTTCCTACCAGGTAAGCATACACTGCGAGCAAGTCCCAAGTAGACGCAGTTGTTATGCACCACATTTTACAACTGTTACACATTCACTTCGTCTTATTCTTCGTTGTATATTTCATTTTTCTCCATTGATCGAGATACCACTACAAGTTATGCATTGTGAATTCTAACCTTACTATCTTTGGCTGGTCAACGCTGTCCTCTAGCTGTTATGAGGCTGTACACCTATCTTCACTTATTCCACTTAGGGACCCTCAGTTCACTGTAAATTAAAGCCCGGTCCGTCGCTGCCGAATTTAAACTTGA